CGTGATGAAAACCTGAAATCTAATTCCTAACCTAAATCATCAACTGTAAATTATACTTCTCATTCCTCGTACAGCTTTCTAACGCTCATTTGGTCCTGGTTATTAAGTGGACACTCTCGAGGTCAGTTTAACGTCGCTCAAACGTCGTCCATAAATTATAATCTCACTCATCATACAGTCATAAATTATGTATGAATGTAGCATTCACAATTTTAAGGACAATCCAACCATATAAATTAATCTATAGTATTAAACCTGGATACAACACATTGAGAAAATCATCAACATATCAAAATCCTAAAAACTATGAAAACGTTCGTTGTTTTATGGGGGACAGGGATGCGGAATCAGAATTGTTATAATTATATGAAACACTAATGAGATTAGAATGCAAAATGTTCAAGTGAATTATAGGTTATTTTCACCAATCATATTCAACTCAAATAGTTAAGGTGTAAGGTGTTTTTTCTTTGAAAAAATAATCAACAACTGCTTATTCATAATTATAATTTTAAAAGTATATGACAGAGTCTGTAGTGGTCGGTATTCAATATAATCCTTAAACTTCGTATACAGTTCGTCCTGATAACCGTCACTAGATAACGCCACAACGGTATATTAATCAGAAGGCGAATACGAAGTGTTGATTATGTTTATTATTGTATCACACACAGATATCGAAAATTACACAAGCATGAAAGAGTTGTGCCGAAAGGCAAGCAGGTAAGCGAGCGAACGAACGAGTGAGTCAGTGAATATGAGTACGAGTAAGCGAGTACAATTCAGCGACAGAGAGCAATGAACATGAATAACATGGACATATATATATATATATATATATATATATATATATATATATATATATATATATATATATATATATATATATATATATATATATATATATATATATATATATAGTGAAATGAATGAATCATCGAATCAATTAGGCGGTTAGTAGTAAGGCTAGTAGAGTGAATAAATGCGTAGGCAGTAAGCAATGCTCAAGCATACATGTTCATACATTCCCAACAATAATAAAAACACAATGACATAGATACGTTGTTGTTGTACGGATGACTCAGTTCGTTAATAAGTTAACAAAATGACTTAACCGAATTAAATGTGAACCAACTCAATTACGCGTGAGTTACTATAAGGGATTATCAATCTGTAAAGAAAATAAAATTCTGATTTTGCTTGTTTTCTTTCTTCCTTTTTTCTTTTTCTTTTCATTTCATGAAACACATTCATTGAATTTGACTTTGATTATTTTCTCATTGTTTCTAATAGTTTACTTATTATTAAATAAATTCGAAATCAAACAATCAAGTCATATTATTCACATTAAATAATGTTTAACCTAATCTCTTTGATATTATTTTCTTCTTTTTTTTCTTCCAGTTTGTCGGCTTTTCATTTCCATTTAAAAGAATAAAAGAACCATTTCCATTTCTAAACTGTGTTATTTTGAATTATTAGAAAAGAAAGTACTTTGTTGTTCAATGACTTTGAAAATGTACATTTTTTTTTCGCATAATAAACGTTCTCTTTTCTTTATTTTTCGTTGTTGATTTTTTTCTTTTTGAAGGGTAATAGAAAGAAAACATCAATTTTTTTGTTGTATGACCAAATGAAGAAATTGGGGAAATAGTAATAAAATGTTAAAATTTGCATTTTGATTTTATGTCTCAGTTTCAATCTAAATTATTTTTTCGTTTTGTTTTAGTAAATAATGTAGAAATTAGAAGTAATTTAAATTAGGCCAAAATAATTATTAGTAAAGGGGTTGTGGAGATTATTAAGTTTTTGATTGAGATCATGAACCGATTGATGTTAGACCATCACAATTGAAAACCTGGAAGCACTGGGCGGCCGTTTCATTCTATTGTGGGACTCCTCAGCAGTGCGCATTCATGATCCCAAACGTGGCATTCGAACCCAGAGCCTTCAGTCTCGTGTGCGAACGCTCAATCTACTGGACCACTGAGATGGCCGGCATCCAACGATGTTAATGTCTAACCTCAACCAATCCACGAAATCGCGCGACCATCTTCCGTTGTACTGAGGTAAATACCTGTCTCTACCTGACATGGATTAGCTCCACTGGTCACTGCTTATGACTAGAACTCCGAGAATTCCCTCACGAAGCTAGTCACTATTACAACGGAAGTTGGTCGCGCAATTTTGTGGATTGGTTGATGTTAGAAACTATCACAGTTGGATGCCGGCTCAGTGGTCTAGTTGGTTGGTCGCGTGCGAGACCAAAGGCCTTGGGTTGGAATCCCGCGAGCGGGATCGTGGATTCGCACTGCTGAGGAGTCCCAAAATAGGACGAAACGGCCGCCCAGTGTTTCCAGGTTCTCAATTGTGATGGTCTAACATCAATCGGTTCATGATCTCAATCACAGACAAAATAATTATGTTTGAGCCAATATATATATGCAAAATAGTATCCATATTGTAATAAGTATCAAATGCGGAAAATGTTCAGTATGAGGTTTTGAAGGTTATTAAGTTTTTGATTGAGAACATGAACCGATTGATATTAGAACACTATTGAAAACTTTGAAGAACTGGACGGCCTTTTCGTCTTATTATGGGACTCCACAGCAGTGCTATTTCTAGTTAGAAACCGTGACTAGTGGAGCTAATCTGTATCGGGTAGTTTTACTTCGTCTACGTATATGGGACGATAATTTACCTTAAACGAATATCGATTCGAATCCCGCGAGTGGAATCATGGATGTGCACTGCTGAGGAGTTCCATACTGGGATGAAACAACCTTTCAGTTGTCCCAGGTTTTCAATGATGGTCCAACATCAATCAGTTCATGATCTCAATCAAAATCGGAAATTGTCGTTATATTTCTTAAATGTTCTCTAGCAAAGTTTTGATTGACTATTATTTTGTTTTTGATTAATTTCAAACTTATTTTCCTTGAAAAAGCTTGGACCAGATTGCCAGGCGAAACGTTGGATTTACTTCAAATTATTTCGCTGAGATTTTACAAATACATTTTCCCTCTTTATATATTTTTAGTTTTATATGGATTCCTTATTGAAAAGATGATTTGCCCTTAGTCGTATTTTTAAAGCGTATATGATCAGCACACAGATACTGTTCAAGTTTCTGTAAAATTAAATGGTAAATTCTAACACTCGTTCATCTGTAATTTAGTTGAAAAATATGTTACTACCATCTATAGTTATAACTATATATGTTTTTCAAATTCTCTCAAAATTTTCAGGTTTCTATTAAATATACGATTAGTTTACGGTTCATGAATTTGAGATGAAATCGATAGGATAAAACGCTCTACCATTTATTAAGCTATAAAAATGTCGAGTCCTATTTTACATACTTCACTTTCACCATATCAGGGATCTTATTACAAATTAAAATTCAAATAAAAAAAATTACAGATTGATTTTATCCTGAGTTCTAGACTCATTTCATAATACAATAAACATTCAAGACATAGTGATTAGATCCTATTTTTGAATAGTCTTGAATATATCAAATTTTACCACCCACTAAAGATGTTAGTTTTATGGCATACAAAAACAAAAAATGAAAAAACTTAAGAATAACCTGCCAGATGGTTATAATAGATGAATTGGTAAAATTTTCTTTTAAAAAAAAGTAATCTTAATTAGTTTCTAATCAACTAATGAAGAATAAGTTTGTTTTTTTAACTAAGATATATTCTTTATTAATCAGTAATTAAGATTGTTAGAAATAAACGATACTATCATTAGGTATATAAATTCACTAACATTTACTGAAATGAAAACGAATGTAATAAGCTATTTTTTTATTTTGATACTAATCTCTTACATATTCAAATCAGATCCAATTCAAGTACCATTACTTACTTACCTTCTTACTTACACCTGTTACTCCCAATGGAGCATAGGCCGCCGACCAGCATTCTACAACCCACTCTCTCATCGGCCTTCCTTTCCAGTTCTATCCTATTCTTGTTCATTCCTTTCATATCTGTCCCCGTTTCTCGGCCTAATGTGTTTTTGGTCTCCCTCTCCTCCTTTGACCATGGGAGGGTATGCCTTGTGATGCAGTTCTGTGCTTTCCGCAATCTATGTTCTATCCACTTCTAGCACTTCTTTCTGATTTCTTCCTCTACTGGGATCTGATTTTTTCTCTCCCATATTAGATAGTTGGTTGACAGTTGTTTTGAGTTCCAGATGTTCTTTAGTTGTAAATATTCTGCTCTTGCTTTTCCGATCCGCGCTTTCACATCTGCATCAGATCCACCATGTTCACCAATGATGCTGCCCAAATATGTAAAGCTTTTTACATCTTCCAAATCTTCTCCGTCAAGTGTGATTCGATTGTTGCATGCTGTGTTGTATCGGAGAATCTTGCTTTTCCCTTTGTGTATATTGAGACCTACTGCTGCTGAGGCTGCTGCTACACTGGTTGTCTTCTCCTGCATTTGTTGTTGCGTTTGCAATAGAAGAGCCAGATCATCTGTGAAGTCTAGATCGTCCAGCTGCATCCTAGATGTCCACTGTATCCCGTGCTTCCCTTCAGGTGTTGACGTCTTCATGGTCCAGTCGATCACCAGAAAGAGAAAGGGTGAGAGTAAGCGACCTTGCCTGACACCGGTCTTTACCTCGAACGAGTCTGTCAATTGTACTCCATGCACAATTTTGCAGTTTAATCCATCATAGGAATTCCGTATGATATTGACTATCTTAGGCACGCTGTACTGTCGAAAAAGCTTCATTAGAGTTTTCCTGTTCACGCTATCAAATGCTTTTTCGTAGTCAATGAAAGTGATGTAGAGTGATGATTTCTATTCAATTGATTCTTCCACAATGATCCGTAGTGTTGTGATTCGGTCTGTACACGATCGATCCTTACGGAATCCAGTCTGCCGGTCTCGAAGTTGGGCGTCTAAATTTAAGTACTATTTATTTAGTAAAATAAATTAATATAAATACTCAATTTCAGTTAAAACAAATCATCTTACTTGAAATAGAAATATAATTCTTGCAAAACTGAATATATGTGCAATAGAAAATAATGCTTCACTGAGTAAAGTTGGATCTGTTTCAGGCCATTGATTACGTGGTAATGGTTCTGTTCCATATTGATTAGTTTTGCGTAATATGACTGCAACAACACGAAGTGCGACAGTAGTCAAATAAAGTCCAAGCATTAAGAAATCTAACCAATTCCACCATTGACGAACATAAGCTTTAAGACCTTCTTCCCATATTTGTTTCATTTCACTCCATACAAATCCTTGTAAAAAAAAAGAAATAAATTACTGTATGATGCTATACACATGAATAAGGAACAATAGAATAAATGCATAGTATACACGTTTATAACAAACTAAGCTAGTAATACCACCCCGTTCGACTTAGTTTACATGAACGCTATTCTGTATTTGTTCTTTAGAAAAAAAAGTCCACTGTAATTCAAAAGTAAATTAATAGTGGTGGTTGATAATTGAGTATAAGTTGTTGCAAGAAAAAATATACTTGGGTAGTTCAATATATGTGCATATATAATGGTGCTCATTTTGAATTTGTACCAGCTTAAAATCGACCCCAGTAATGTAAAACGGATTTCTCAGTATAAAGTTTACGTTTAACATCAAACTTGTATTCTTCCTTCACTACTTTCTTCGTTTTAATATTCTTTTATTAATTTAACTCGACCTACTTATTTTCCTACATATGAATAACATTTTCAGGATGTATTACGGTAATATATGTATCATATCGTAGACGAAATTTCTTGTTTCAATAATATGTCTGAATAAGCCCATATTATGATACAGAAATACGTGAGATATTAATTTAGTCGACCTGAAAATAAGCAGTAATCTAATACGAAAAAATGATTTATTAGTGAATTTTATTACAACTTAATATCAGTCCCAAACTGACTAAACACTAAGTAGATATGTGGCCTGATTTCAAAATCTCTAATTAATATGTATTACGTGACCTTTATCGAAGTCAAAGTATTTCGATTTATCAATAAAGTTAAATGTTTTGTTAACATAAATGCCAGGATTAAGTCTGATTATTCTATCAAAACATAACTTAAGACAGTCACCTTATTCGTAATATAAACATTTATTAATCATTTATTATTTATTCGCAAATATTGGCGGAGTACCTACATTAAATAAACATCGAGAAGAAAAGAGATCATAAAGCTCTAACTATTAGGAATTAAAATCAAACAAACACGTTAAAAATATACTACTGACCAGTCAGTGTATGAGTGACTACTATTAGAGCCAGTGATATTTCTCCTAGTTTCTCAATCAACATTGCGACACCAACCAAGAGCTCATCACTTCCAACAAACTAGCATAATCTATTAAGTATATCAAAGAGTCTGTTGCTAAGCAACAATTAATGAAACCGACAAGAAAGCATAAACATCATCATTACGGCTGTACAAACCGAAACGTAGCTGCTACTTAGACATGGTGATCTGGCTTCCTTATCGTGATGACTCATCTAAGCTATATTGGCTGGAACACATGTTCCTCTAGGTCCTACCATGCCACGCAAGTCGGTTGGAGGACAGTAGCAACTTAAGGCCTGAAGGCAAATCCATACTTTTGACTGTAGAGGTGTGTGACAACAGCAAAGTGTTTACCTCAGAAAACCAGCATCTACAACAATCCTGCCTTGTCACAACGGAAGGGAAGGGTTGGAAAAATTGATCCCAAAAATGCCACACATCACTTTACCCCACGGATTCCTACCACCGGAGGCAAGGCTTTTTGAAGTAAGTAACTGGTTAGTCAAAAATATCTCATGAAAAGGTCATGCTTGACCGGCCTTGGGCTTTTCAGTAACGAATCCAAGTAGCTATGACCACCACTATTACAGATTTTTTAGTTCTGTCAAGAAGAAATATTCCTCTGTGATGTAAATAATCAGGAATTGACAACCGCCCTCATACCTCCGTCAGCACCCGAGATCATCTTGTTGATGATCGAATCCCTCCTTCACCTCTTAATTATTCTTTTACCCCATGACCAACAATTCTCGTATGTCTGCATCACCACGTTCTACTAATGCTAAAGATTTGAGTTCACATAATGTTATTCTTAGTCTCCTTAAGAGACAGAAAATTCAGTGGCGATAAGTAACAGTAGGCAACTGTTCATAATTAAAAGAAAACGAACATTAAAAATCCGGCTTTAGTGGAACTATTTCGGAAACGTACGGGGCCGTTATTCACTATCAATCCAGGAGATTGGGCCGATAGGCTGAACACTTAAGAAAACATTTCAACTGGTCTTCAGACGAACTTTGGTTACCCAATATCTACAAGCAACCTGAATAGCAAACTGATGTTAGTCCTTCAATTCTTATTGAGGTTGAAGAGGCTATAAGCAATTTAAAGCACAGGAGAAAAGCAGATCCTGATGGACCAACCACTGAGATGGTCCAGGTTTAGAAGTTAGAATGACTGTAATATTAGTTAAAATCTGGTAACTGGACGCAATCCCATCTGAATGATTTCGATCGCTGGTCGTCCCAGTTTACAAGAAAGGACAATCACAGGGCAATCGGTTTAACTAACATAGTGTGTGAAATATTAGCATCAATAATACTTCGACATCTAACCAGAGCTCATGAAGAGAGAACCCGAGATCCTGGAGATCCACTTGTTGACGTAGAATGCACAGAGGACATAGTTCTGTTTGGCGAATACGCTGACAAAAATGCAGTGTCCTGAATACCTTAAGCAACAATTCAAGCATGCTTAGGATGTAGTCTTCTTCCTTCAAATGTAAAATGTGACCTTAGTTATCGCCTACGTCATCGCCTGAGTTAATGATAGGGAGTGAAGTAGTTGAACGCATAGACCGTTTCATCTATCTTGGAAGTCTCATAACTACTGACAGTCTGGCGTCTGACGAAATCTCAGCACAGGTTCAGGAGGCTAGATTGGCTTTTGTCAAATAGCGTCACTTGTCCGTCTTCCAACCAAAGAACGAATTCACTGAACATCGGTTTGATCCGTTCTACTTTACGGATGTGAAACGTGACCATTAAGAATAGAGGATATTCATAGTTTATCGGTATTCGGTCATCGGTGTCTTCGAAGTATTGCTCGTGTATTTCGGGACTAAGGAGTAAGCAATGGCTGGGTTAAGAATAGGGTGCTTGTTAAAGATGGGAAATCGATTGATGAATTAGTGAATTTTCACCAACTGAGGTGGTTGGACATGTTATGTATACTCGACCACCGCCCAACTCGACGGGCGATGTTCTCTTGTGTAGAAGTAGGCTAGAATAAGGCTAGAGGCGGCATAACCAAACTATGGCATCAATCCATAAAGATACTGAGAATTGGACTGAGTCATGTTAATAAGCGTTGACTACCCTGGTCGCGTTCTGCATGATTATCATAAACAATGGTTAGAGACTTTGAATGATATGTCTCAAAATTGTTTTCAATGGCGCATGTACATCCATTCTATGACTTCCCCCAAATTCTGAGATTCTAATTTCACATAGTTTTTTCTTGTTTTTATTTCACTAATTTATATTTTCTTCTCGAGTCATATCTTCCATGCCGAGTCTTTCCTATTACCACTGATACTGTTACTACTTTTACTATTCCAGGATTTTACCTAACAACCTCATCTCTCTGCAATAATTTGATATGGAAACGTGAACTGATATACATACCCACAGGTCCTACGTTGTAACAGACTCATGGAGTAGCAGTTGCACAAAAAATTCAAACGTTAAGAAAATATAATTCAATTTATTAAAACTAATTCAGGGCAGTTCTTGCTACTTAAATTATAACCACATTAGTTGGGCTGTTGGTACTTTTAAGCGCTAGTTCACCTTCAATTGTTTATGACATTTTTCAATTCTGAATATCTTCAAGACAACTACTGTTGCGTAATTATACATTGTGATTTATAATTTAAATAGAATACTATAAGTCTACTATATATATCAAACTGTGGGACGATAAAACATTATGAAAAATGTTACTACTTTTAAACTAAGTACATTTAGATCAAGGATTTGATGTTTGTATTCTTAAAACTTACCAATTACCCACCATAATATTAACATTTCAATAACATTTGGATCTGGTCCACGAATTTCACTACGTCTTTGTAAATCTGTTTTCGTTAATGTATCAGTTGATGCAATCAAAAGTAGGAATATAAAAATTGCAAATGATGCGCTATGATTAATAAATTTTATCAATGGACTTCGCATCAGCTGGCCAACACATCCATGTGGATGAATTAAATATGTCGGAGCTAATATTGGCAATGCAATTATGAAACAAAAGCAAAGAAATAGTTTTGTAAATGGATGACGTTTACGCCAACCAGGTAATTGATCATACCATAAGGTGGTTAAAAGATGTTGACAATGTGGATGAGCAACGAACTAGTTAGAAAAAAAAATAAAAAAACAGATCAAATACAATTAATACTAATGTGTAAGTAAATGTTAAATGCTTTAGTTAATTATTAGTGATTTATGTAATATAATTAGATACTTTATTTGAAATTGTAAGGTTTAAGAACCCCCTTTATGAACATTTTCACGACAGAATCATGTTAAGTACATAATCACAACAAATTCAAAAATATTATCTGAGGATTTTCCAAGTGTAATGTGGTTATTGCCAACAAAACCCACCTTAGATATATACGATACATATACAGCACGAATTACAATCTGTCAGTCCATATTCATTCACACACCATTCAACGAGTAAGTTCGAATCCAATGGTCTATAATCTTAACTTCACTCAATCCATAATGTAGCACGAATATTACTTCCTTTCATCAGCTCTTTGTTGGAGTCGCATTTTTAACCTGTACGCTTATAATATCAACAATTTTGAATTTAGAAAAACATCTCTACAGTATAATTGGATTTTCAGTAGTTCCTTGGCTGATCTCATTTCTCTGGATTATTTTCTCGGTCACTTTATTCTTAAGAAACTCAGTAAATAACTGAGAAGTCACATTTTCTCCAAAATTTTATAGACAGTTAATACATACAGATATTCATCATCTTATGACAGAATTATTGAACTACGAAACAGAAAAACTCATCCAATTAGATAAGCTATATGAATTACCAAATTAATTGCTTGTTTATATTTAGTTACCGATAAGAAACATACAATGAATAGGCATTTCGCACTTTCTCATTTTAGATAAGTAAACGTTATTGGTGTAGATTCCCTACTTTACATTAAATACTCGAAATCACTTTATACTTCTAATTTAAACTTGAGCATCTTTACAAATAATTAATAAAATAAATGAGTTAAGATAACGTTAAATATTTATCAAATATTTTCATAATTTTCTTGAGAACTCAACTAACCACTTACTCAAAAAAGATTTTTGTGAATATTATAGCAATTCGATAGTTGAATTCATCAGTCAATTGAAGCTAGAACACCATGAAGAACCTGGAAGCACTGGACAGCTGTTTCATCCTAGTATGGAACTCCTCAGAAATTCGCTTCCGCGGTCCTGTACGTGGAACTCGAACTCAGGATATTTGGTATTGCGCGCGAACGCTCAACCTCTAGATCACTGAGCCTGCCGGCATCCCACAATGTTAATGTCTAACCAATCCATGATACTGCACCACCGTCCACCATTATCTCCAGCAAATAACTACCTCTACAACAGACCCGGCCAAACTCTAGTGGTCATGGCTTCTCGCTAGAACTCCAGGAAATAATTCATGAAGCCAGTCTCATGCTGGAATTAAACGGCCATTCAGTGCTTCCGGATTTTCCATAGTGGTCTAACTTCAGTAGACTCATGAATTCAACTACTAAAAACTACTACAATCTCCACAAAACCTCATTCTGATAAAAAGATACTTTTACCAGTTAATTAAATTATTCAAAATCTAAAGTACTTTGGATTGTTCTTTTTTAAAAAAAAGAGAAATGAAAATTCATTATAAAAACTCCCAAAAACTTCCAAATAAATATATTTATAAATGATAAGTAGTGATTAAGTCATCAAATAAATATGTTGTAGAGTAGTTGCTTCTTCTTGTGATGGTCGGTATTCAATATAATTCCTTAACTTCGTTTACAGTGCGTCCTGATAACCATCACTAGACAACGCCCCAACGGTGTATTAATCAGAAGGCGAATACGAAGTGTTGATTACGTTTATTATTGTACCACACACAGATAACCAAAATTACAGGTACGCTAAGCAAGCATGAAAGAGTTGTGCCGAAAAGCTAGCAGGTAAGTGAGGGAATACGCTAGTCAAATGAACAAGTCGGCGAGTCAAAGAACAGGATTAAAATGTACATATATTTACATAGTGAAATGAGTGAATCATCGAATCAAGTTAGCGATTAATTGTAAGGCTACCAGAGTATATGAGTGGGCAATAAACAATACTCAAGCATACATACAAGTGTAACAAGAATAAGGCTACATTGATATAGATAAGTTGTTATTATACGGATGATTCTATCCATTAAATAAATTAACAACAGAGCTTAATCAAATTAAATATAAACAAACTTAATTGCACGTGAGCTGCTATAATAACTCTCCCCCTCCCCAATCAGCAAACACAGGTACAAAAAGTGACTCAGAAATTAAAACAACTTATATAAGCTTAACATAGTAACTGACATTATATTCTTTATTATTTCAAAATTTATTACAATAAATACCTAAAATACCAGTTTTTATTTCAATCATCAATCAAGTCCATACATCAGATTAACTTTATTATAGATTATAAATGAGAAAAAAACTGTATATAATTGAATGGATTCAAAGAAATTTAAGATTATTATTATTATGTTCAGTAGTATATAAAGGTCAAATAGAAAATAAATCAATTAATGATTTATTCATTAATCACGCAATATTTAATGATTATTAATTTCAATCATAAGGTCATTGAATAAATTGTAATGAAACTTGATCAAAGTAATTCATTCTAGTTTAAAGCAATTCTTATTAATTAAAACAAAAATAAAATTAAACCCCTTTCAAAATGTAGCGTGAAATATTAAATATACATATATATACATATATATTCGTCTCTTTATTATTACATTATGTTGATAAGAATATAATCAACAGTAATATTAAGTTCATTATATGATATAATTTAATGAATTATAAGTTATTTAATTATATAGATTTAATTATTAATTATATTTCACAGATTGAAATCAGGAGTTAATTGAAGCTAGACCACTATGGAAAACCTAGAAGCACTGGACGGCCGTTTCGTCCTATCGTGGGACACCTCAGCAGCGTGCATCCACGATCCTGCACCCAGCGAGATTCGAACCCAAGACCTATCAGTCTCGCACCAGGCGCTTAACCAACTAGACCACTGAGCCGGCATCCAATGGTGTTAATGACTAACTCCAACCAATCCCCAAAGTTGCGCCACCATATACCATTGTCTTTAGTGAGCTGATATCTCACAACAGACCTGGTTGATCTCTACCGGTAACGGCTTCTCACTAGAACTCCAGGAGTATCTCTTGAAGTCAGTCACTAGTGAGCAGATGATTATTATCAGAAGGGGTTTGTGAAGATATTAAAAAATTCACTAGTTGAAATCGAGTCAATTGACCCCTTCTGATATTAATTATATACTAATTAATTGGATCAATATGGGTTGATTTTGCTTATACTTCAATATGATGATCCAATTAGTAATCATATGATTTCAAACTATTTTACTTTAATCAGTTGTCATAATCCATAGAATAAATAAATTTGAACAATCAAGATTAATTTGTAATCGTTATCTAATGTGAATATTAGGATTTTAAACTGGAAATTATTCAAAAGATAGAACAAACTAATTCTTTTCGAGTTTTTTTTCTGAATTCGAATCACAAAGTGGATATGCATTTTGAGATACAAGTGCATTCAGCTGACGAGTTCTAAATAGGACGAAACACATGACCAGGATTTTATTTCTAGCCACTATCCATCTTTGCTTAGAATGACAAAATATTTATTTAAATATAACTATAAACACTATCATAAGTAGGGAAATATTTTCAATGTATACAGAAGACTATTTTAAGATAAAAGGTATACAAACAATTGTACTTTTATCTAAATATTGAGCATGCTACATATTATTAGATAATAACTTAATTTTAATGAAGTAAAAGGTTTATCCTTAGTGTTAGAAATACAATCAAATTTGTTAAACAAACTCTAAAACAGTCTAACAGAACAGATATTAACATAATTTTATTGGGGAAAAAACATTTAAAATTCCTTAGTCTACTGACGAAAGGGCATTATTGAAGCTTCGTTTGTAAGGTTACAACTTGAGAACTTTGAAAGTAAAGACAATTTTACTAGACCTTCTGAGAATTTTATTTCACAGTTTATTGGGTTGAATATAATGAATAAATAAGTGAGTGATTAACGCAGAATACGATATACAACTATGGCACTCAAACGTATAGAAACCCTACAGTCACAAATCAAAAGACAAAAGACGGAAGAAGTGCTTGTTGGTTAAGAATCAGAATGTACAGAAAATCATGGGTATTTATAGATATTAACGTTTGTTATATCAACAATGCATTTCAGATAATCCGCGAAGAGGCATGTTATGTTACTGTTCAATAGTAGCATGCTTCGTTGATATTCTAGAAAGCTCCATCATGTTCTGGTTGACTCCTTTAGGGCCTATGGAGGCTCCGTCGTAATTGTCGGAAGCCGTCCCAACAGAAATGCAGTCAGAAAATTGTTTCACAGTATAACTCAATCACTGACAATTACTGACGGATATTCAATGAAGTATTGAAAAAGAAAAATAGTATTTTTTACTTGAAAATGACTGAAACATTTGTTTAAATTAATTATACAACGGTAGTCTTGGACAAGTAACTGATTTTTGTTCACATAAATAGTTAATTTGTAAAATAAACTGTATATTATGCAAACGTAAACATGAATAGCAGTAATTTATAGTATGCTCAATTGTAAAAGAGATTCCTTTGTGTTAAAACACTGACTAACATCTCTGTTTAAAACAAAACAATCTGAAGCGATGACAGTTACATTTAATTACTGCCTCACTCTAAATGCGTCTTTGAATTTCAATTTCAAATGACATCGAATATGCTCATACACAAACATATATATAATATAGTCATTATCTTTGTTACTCTAATTTCTTCATCAATGCCGATTGCTTCATATTATGTTACACTTTATTACATATATAATTCCAAGCAGTTGATGAAAAACCATGAATCAAAGTGAATTAATACTATTCTGCCTCAATTGTTGTTTTGATTATATTCGAATTCTCAAAGGGAACCAACTGAATGGAAATTTTAAGGTTCTTGATATGTTTTGTTAATTTGAATGCTTACTTGTTATATCTGGTCG